TTTAAAAAAAGACACCGAAGGGCCCAATATTTTCGAATTCTTTTAAAAATAATATACCAGGGGTCTCGAAAATATTCTAATTTTTTTTTCAACAACAAAAACCAAAGTTCCTTAAGAATTTTTCACATTCTGAATAAAAAAAAAAACGCTTGGGGCTCTTTGATTTTTTTTGAAAATGTAACAGGAATGTCCCCAAAGATTTTCACATATTAAAGACACCAAAAAGCTCCAGATTTTTTAGAAGTTTTTCAAATTAAAATATCAATGGTTCTAAAAATTCTTTCGCGTTCTAAAAAAAAATATTGGGGCTCTCTTAGATTCTTTTAGACGCTTTCAACACAAAACAACCGCGCCCCTGAGATTTTTTCATATTTTCTCAACTTACATTTTTAAAAAAGGCACCGAGGGGCCCAAGATTTTTTTAATTCTTTCAAAAATGATTCTACTACTTCATAAAGTACGACTGATTTTGGCAAATGATATACTCTCTAAGAAAAGAGAGGGTGGGTGGGCGGGACTAGTACCTGCTAAGATAAGAATGATTTTGGCAGATGATATACCCTCTAAGAAAAGAGTGGGCGGGGTTAGTATCTGCTAAGATAAGAGTAATTTTGGCAGATGAGGTATCCTCTAAGACAAGAGAGGGTGGGTGGGCGGGGCTAATACCTGCTAAGATAAGAGTAATTTTGGCAGATGATATACCCTCTAAGAAAAGAGAGGGTGGGTGGGCGGGGCTAGAATCTGCTAAGATAAGAGTAATTTTAGCAGATCAGATACCCTCTAAGAAAAGAGTGGGCAGGGCTAGTATCTGCTAAGATAAGAGTAATTTTTGCAGATGAGGTACCCTCTAACAAAAGAGAGGGTGGGTGGGTGGGGCTAGTACCTGCTAAGATAAGAGTAATTTTGGCAGATGAGATACCCTCTAAGAAAAGAGAGGGTGGGTGGGCGGGACTAGTAGTTGCTAAGATAAGAGTAATTTTGGCAGATGAGATACCCTCAAGGTAATACTTGTTAAGATTTTGCGTAGGGCGGGTGGACGAGTCTACATTTTGCTTTTTTTTTTGTTAATCAAAATCTGTCTTATCTTGGCAGCTGCTAGCCCCGCCCACCCACCCTCTCTTTTCTTAGCGGGTATCTCATCTGCCAAAATTACTCTTATCTTAGCAGATACTAGCCCCGCCCGCCCACCCTCTCTTTTCTTAGAGGGTATGTCATCTGCCAAAACTACTCTTATCTTAGCAGGTACTAGCCCCGCCCACCAACCCTCTCTTTTCTTAGAAGAAATGTGATTTGCCAAAATTATTCTTATCTTAACACGTACTAGCCCCGCCCACCCACCCTCTCTCTTCTTAGAGGATATCTCATATGTCAAAATCAGTCGTAATTTAGGAAGTAGAATAATTTTTGAAAGAATTCAAAAAAGTCTTGGGCCCCTCGGTGCCTTTTCTTAAATATGTAAAAAAATAATGGCGTTCTTTTGTACATACTTTATTTTCGAGAAAATATGAAAAAATCTCAGGGGGCGCGGTTGTTTTGTTTTGGAAGAGTCTAAAAGAATCAAAGAGATCCCTAACGTTTTTTTTTTTAAGAGTGCGAAAGAATTTTTGGAACCATTGATAACTTATTTTTTTAAAAATTCGTAAAAATCTACAGCTTTCTAGCTAGTCCTTGTTAAGATTTTGCGTAGGGCGGGTGGGTGAGTCTACATTTTGCAATTTTTTTTGTTAATATGTCTAGACTTATTTCGACAACAAGAAACTTAAAGCATGTTTAAAATGGAAAGTTTGGGCTCCACCCCATAATTGCAAAATCCATTTTTCCTTGCAAAAATGTACCATTTTAACTGTTTCTTGTTGTGAGGAGATGGCTATGTATATTAAGAAAAAAGAAGGCAAAATATAAGCCCCGCCCACCCGCCCTATCAATTCTGATGATTTTATTCGTCGTGAGCCGAGGAGCGGAGCTTAATTGTAAAATCCTTATTTATCTACGAGTAACTACTATGTGAAATATATCTTTTAGTAATCCGGTTATACAAAGAAGCTAAATGTATTAATTAAACACGAGAACCAAAAGAGAAGCCCGGACTTTTGGTTATCCATGGTGTATTATTTGGGAGCCCGTGGAGATTTTTTTGTAAATTATTTAAAACAATTTTGGGGGACTTTGGTGTTCTATTTTTGGAAAATTCGGACCTGGGGTGGGATTTTGTTTCTAAAACGATAAAATATCGATACCGATAAAATGTGGTCGTCTTTTTCTTTAGCATCTAAAATTTATATTTTCATCCTTGTCATTTATCGCTTCGTTATCGCTTCGTATCGTATCGGTAGAAACAAAATCCCACCCCTGGGGTGGGATTTTGTTTCTCGATCGAAGTGATAAATTATCACTTGCGATAAATGTTATTGCCTAGCTTTTAAATGCAAAGTTTGCATTTATTCTTTGCATATAAGCTTATTAAATGTTCAAAAGTTTACAATTACCTTAATTTTAAGAACTTATAACTCAGAATTACGATTTGAACTTCTATTTTGACATAAATTTCGAGGTTATGTCTCCAAAATTTATCACTTCACTCAGAGCTATCGAGAAAATATCACTCCATGAAGACTTGATTTCGTGACAGAATCGAGAAATGTGACAGAAATGTCTCACCAACTTAGCCTCTCAACCAATCAGCAAACGAGATTTTATCGCTATCGATTTTTTGAAAAAGTTTTAAATAATCTTGGGTTCCCCTAGTGGTTTATTAATTTTAAACAATCTTGTATCTCAGCAACTACTAGCCCCGCCCACCCACCTCCTATTTTCTTGGAGGGTATGTCATTTGCCAAAATCAATCTTATCTTAACAAATATTAGCCCCGCCCACCCGCCCTCTATTTTCTTAGAGAGTATGTTATTTGCCAAAATCAGTCGTACTTTAGAAAGTAGTAGAATAATTTTTGATATAATTCAAAAAAATCTTGGGCCCCGCGGTGCCTTTTTTAAATATATAAGTTGAGAAAATATGAAAAAATCTCAGAAGCGTGGTTATGTTTTGAAAGAGTCTAAAAGAATCTAAAAGATCCGTAATGTTTTTTTTAAGAATGCGAAAGAATTTTTGGAACTATAGATAATTTATTTTTGAAAAAATTCGAAAAAATCTACAGCTTTTTGGCGTCTTTAATATGTAAAAATCTTTCGGGACATTCACGTTTCATTTTTAAAAAATCAAAGGGACCCCAAATGTATTTTTTTTCCCAGAATATGAAAAATAATTATAGGATCTTGGTCTTTCTTGTAGAAAATAATAAGACTGAGATTTGGTTGATATTCCTGGTAGTTTGATATTAATTAAACTATAATCTATAAATATCACTTTGGGCTTCTGGTGTTTTGTAAAAGAGTTTGAAAAGATGTTGGGAACTTCTGACAATTTTGAAAAAGTTTGAAATAATCTTGGGTTCCCCTAGTCGTTTATTAATGTCAAACAATCTTGTACCTTAGCAAATACTAGCCCCGCCCAACCACCCTCTTTTTTCTTAGAGGATATGTCATCTGCCAAAATTACTCTTGTCTTAGCTAGTAGTAGCCCCGCCCACCCACCCTCTCTTTTCTTACTGATGGCTAACTCTTACAAAAAAAAAAACAAAACTTGGAAACATTACGAGCTTACTTATATCCACAAGGCATCAATTTTGAACATCTTTTTTAGTGTTCAGTTGGTAATGCTTTAATGTATTTTTCTTTTGTTGGTTTTGTTTTTGTTTATCATTTGTAAATGTCTGAGTAAATGTTTTTTTTGGATTCTTTATTAATGAAAAATAACAACTTGTTTTAATAATAATAATAATAATAATAATGCCCAACGATTAATGACTACTGGTTGTTACGGTCATTGTCCTGAAATCATTAGGGAGGTATTCACACATTAGGTGCGTGCAGTGTTGCCAATTTTACTTTTATAAAATCACTTTTTTCTGTAATCTACATCATGAAGATTTTTTTATTATTATTATTATTTTTTTTTGACTCACGAAACACCCCTATATAACGTACTGAAGAGTTAATCCGCCATTTTCCAGACACCCGGTATATCGGAAGTAATGAATGGTAATGGACAATGTGATGTCATATATACTGATTTCGAAAAGGCTTTCGATAAAATAGATCATTGTTTATTACTGCAAAAGCTCTGTAATATTGACTTCACAAATCTGTTATTGAAACTTTTAGACCCGATTTACAGAAAGCGAAGTTAAAGTTAATTCGCGATTAACTTTTAACTGAGGTCCGTTGCCAGGTAACGCGGATATTTTAACCAATCACGGACTCATATTCCACCTTTTAATTCTCTGTTAAACTAATCGAGGATTAAATATTTAACTCGCTGTTCTATAAACCGGCCCTTAATCTCTTATTTGACCGGTCGAATTTTATTTGTGAAATACAGAAATTTTAGCTCCAAACCATTTTTTCTTCTGGAGTTTCACAGGGATCGAACTTCGGACCCTTGTTGTTTTTGCTCTTTATTAATGATCTTCCTGATGCTATTCCCTGCAATAAACTTATGTAGAGTGATGATCTCAATTTATATATGGAATTTAATTCTATTAATGATTGTTACTAAGGTATCTTCAGTTTTGCTTAATTTTTCTTTACCATTGGTGTATTTGAAATAGATTAATGTTGAATATCTGTAAATGCAAATGCAATTGTACAGAATTTGTGAATCAGCGAACTCTTATCATATGATTTTTTTTTCTTGGAGGAGATCAAGACTGGAGTACAGAACAGTTATTTGGTACCCCATTTACGCAAGGAGATTGAGTCTGTACAAAGAAAATTTTTAAAATTCTTAGCTTTCTTACAAGACGGTATAATCAAACTGCTCTAGATAGATCTCCAAATAATTTATTTATATATTAAAATAATAATTGACATGTTCGCAGATAATTTATTAACTATAAGTGCGTCATTATAGTTAGTGTTTTTGTTTAAATTCGTGTATTTCAGGTCTGGGTGACCGTGTGGGCCATGATCTGCTTCGTGATCAGCCTAGCCTCAGCCCTCACCCTGTCCATCGGGGGCGGGCGCGTCAAGGCTCGCCCCCTCATCAGCCTGGCCCTGTGCTACTGCATGGTGAGCGCCGGCTGGGCGCTCCGCATGTTCTCGGGCCGCATGTCGCCCTACTGCTCCTCGGCCGCCGCCCCCGAGGACGGTCTCTCCAACGTCAACTGTGCCTTCGTCTTCCTGCTCATCTACTACTTCGGCATGGCCGCCAACGCCTGGTAAGCGCGACTATCGCACCTCTTGGCGCCCGTCCCGCGGGAACTCACGTGACCCAGTTGCCGCCTCCGGCGGCATCGCCTCCCATAACCGCCCGCGATAATTGGAAATTAATTCCAATTTCACGCGGATTTCACGCCATCGCCGCGCCGTGAAGTTCCGCGCTTGACGTGATTGCTGACGGAGAGCGACGTGGGGAATTTGGCTTTAGCCAACCGTTTGGTTTAAAATTTACAAGAACGCAATAAATCGTGAAGATTTGTTAATTAATGTTAATAATTATTAACTTGGAGGGAGCAAAAAAATCAATATTGATGAAAGATGGAAGTGGCCAGTTTTTTCCTAGACAAACTATTTATTATAGGAACTATTTCGGAGTAAATTTAGAAAGCGGTCTGGGACTCGAAGGGTCCTTGTCTACCTGCTGGACAGGCCCGTTCGGCCGTAATTTATGGCCCGACCCATGGTCGTTACCCAAAAAGAAATATTAATAATTCGCCGTAATTTATGCTTTACGGTCCGGCCGGACTGTTTATTTACACAAGAGCACTAATTGCCTGCTACAGTAAATTAAATATTTAATGACGATCGGACATTATAGCCAGCTCTCGATCGGCTTGTTAAAATATTTCGACGGACTCGAGTTTAATTAACTTATTTATCGGGCTGTCGATCGAGAAAGGGATTCGGAGAAACGTCGGAGTAGTGACAGGTAGGGACAAAGGGGCCGAGATGGACGTTTTGACGGGCGAAGGTCGGCCGAAACCGGTAGCCGGTTGTAAATTATTTATATGCGGGGACATAAACCGGCAGTGATAAATATGGTCGAGGAACGGTGTAAGTGCCAGTTTTTGCTAATTATGGAGGGAATGCAGCTACTTGGCGTTAGCTGGTGGGATTTTATGTAGAGAGCGATTATGGTGTGCTCGTGTGACGTTAAAGAGCTGGGAAGTGGGATTTATTATTCTGTGAAGTCCGTCGGGCATAGTTGCTTTGATATTTATTACACAATCGTGTTGTGGTTGGTTTTTTCTCGGATTGAGAAAGATGGATGTAGATTTTACAGGTGGTAATGTAGCGAGCGAAGCGAGCTGGGTTTCAGTTCTTCCAAAATGTGATTTGTGTATTTGTTCTAAAAGGTGTTGTTTTTTTTATTTTAACAACAACTTCGGGATCTAAAAATATATTTGACCGTTTTTCTTTCAACAGCCGGATCAAGTGGAGTTTAACATCTGCTGAAAAATAAACATTTGTCGTTATATTTTTTTTTAATTTTATTTATAGCCTTCTAGTAATTAAATAATAAGTAAATAAATAAAAGTTCACTAACTTTTAAGATCACTTTTAAAATAAAAAAAACTTCTTTATCGTTTACCATTTTAAAATAACTTTAGAAAAATGTGTTTAAAATTATTTAGATCGAACTTCCCTTGACACTGCAGCACAGACAATAAAACAAGTTCATTTTCGTAAGTAAATCATAAATCAAAATGTACGTTCATATTAAAAAGAGATTCAGAGATTCTTTCGAACGGTTTCGAAAACACAACACCAGGAATCCTCAAGGTTTTTCCAATTCCTGGTTCCAAAAATTCTTTCAAATTCTTTTAAAAATAAAATACAAGCGCATCCCATGATTTTTTTACGTATTTAAAAAAAGACACAAAGAGGTCCAAGATTTTTTCGAATTCTTTCAAAAATAAAATATCAAGAGTGTCGAAAATTCTTTAAAATTTTTTTGCAACGAACAACAAAATCCCTAAATATTCTTTCAAAAATGAAACATGAAAAAGCTCTTGATTTTTTCAATTTTTTCCAAAATAAAATATCAATGATTATAAAAATTTTTACGCATTCTTAAAAAAACATTAGGGTTTCTTTTAAAATATGTACAAAGGGATGCCATTATTTTTTTTTACATATTTAAAAAAAGATACCGTGGGGCCCAAGATTTTTTCGAATTCTTTCAAAAATTATTCTACTACTTCCTAAAATACGACTGATTTTGGCAAATGACATTCCTTCCAAGACAATAGAGGGCGGGTGGGCGGGGCTAGTACTTGCTAAGATAAGACTGATCTTGGCAAATGATATACCCTCTAAGAAAATAGGGGGTGGGTGGGCGGGGCTAGTATTTGCTAAGATAAGTCTGATCTTGGCAAATGATATACCCTCCAAGAAAATACTGGTGGGTGGGCGGGGCTATTAGTTGCTAACATTCAAGATTGTTTGACATTAATAAACCACTAGGGGAATGCAAGATTATTTCAAACTTTTTGAAAATTGCCAGGAGCCCCCAAACTCTTTTAAATCCATTCATATTCTGAAAAAAAAATTACACTTGGGGTCCCTTTGATTTTTTAAAAATGAAACATGAATGTCTCGAAAGATTTTTAGATATTAAAGACGCTTTTTGGCGTTTTCTCGAATTTTTTCAAATATAAAATATCGATTGTTCCAAAAATTCTTTTGCATTATTAAAAAAAAAACATTAGGGATCTCTTAGATTCTTTTAGACGCTTTCAAAACAAAACAATCGCGCCCCCTGAGGGTTTTTCATATTTTCTTAAAAGTAAAGTATGTACAAAGGGACGCCATTATTTTTTTACATATTTAAAAAAAGGCACCGAGGGCCCCAAAATTTTTTTTAATTTTTTCAAAATTATTCTACTACTTCCTAAATTACCACTGATTTTGACATATGAGATAACTCCTAAGAAGAGAGAGGGTGGGTGGGCGGGGTTAGTACCTGTTAAGATAAGAATGATTTGGCAGATGACATACCTTCTAAGAAAAGAGAGGGTGGGTGGGCGGGGCTAGTACCTTACTAAGATAAGACTGATTTTTGCAAATGATATATCCTCCAAGAGAATCGAGGGTGAGTGGGTGGGACTAGTATTTGCTAAGATACAAGATTGTTTGACATTGATAAACCACTAGGGGAACCCAAGATTATTTCAAACTTTTTCAAAATTGTCAGGAGCTTCCAAAATTTTTTCAAACTCTTTTACAAAACACCAGAAGTCCAAAGTGATATTTATAGATTTTAGTTTAACTAATGGCAAAGTACCATGAATATTAACCAAATCTGTCTTATTATTTTAAGGTCCTTTAATAATTTTTCACATTCTGAAAAATAAATACATTTGGGGTCCCTTTGATTTTTTAAAAAATGAATCATGAACGCCTCGAAAGATTTTTACATATTAAAGACGCCAAAAAGCTGTAAATTTTTCGAAATTTTTCAAAAATAAAATATCGATTGTTCCAAAAATTATTTCGCATTCTTAAAAAAAAAACATTAGGGAGCTCTTAGATTCTTTCAGACTCTTTCAAAACAAAGCAACCGCACTCCCTGAGATTTTTTCATCTTTTCTAAAAAATGAAGTATGCACAAAAGGACGCCATTATTTTTTTACATATTTAAGAAAAGAACCGAGGGGCCCAAGATTTTTTTAAATTTTTTCAAAAATTATTCTATTTCCTAAATTACCACTGATTTTGACATATGAGATATCCCGTGAGAAGAGCGAGGGTGGGTGGGCGGGGTAGCACCTGCTAAGATAAGAGTAATTTTGGCAGATTATCTTAACAGGTACTAGCCCCGCCCACCCACCCTCTCTTTTCTTGGAGGCTACATCATCTGCCAAAATTACTCTTATCTTAACAGGTACTAGCCCCGCCCACCCACCCTTTCTTTTCTTAGATGCTATCTCATCTGCCAAAATCATTCTTATCTTAATAGGTACTAGCCCCGCCCGCCCACCCTCTCTTTTCTTAGAGAGTATCTCATCTGCAAAGTCATTCTTATCTTAACAGGTACTAGCCCCGCCCACCCACCCTCTCTTTTCTTGGAGGCTATCTCATCTGCCAAAATTACTCTTATCTTAGCAGGTACTAGCCCCGCCCACCCGCCCTTTCTTTTCTTAGATGCTATCTCATCTGCCAAAATCATTCTTATCTTAATAGGTACTAGCCCCGCCCGCCCACCCTCTCTTTTCTTAGGGGTATCTCATCTGCAGTCATTCTTATCTTAACAGGTACTAGCCCCGCCCATCCACCCTCTCTTTTCTTGAAGGTATGTCATTTGTTAAAATCAGTTTTATCTTAGCAAGTAGTAATGGATCTTTTACAAAAAATGATCGAAATTCGGAAACGTTACGAGCTTACAATGCAGGAATTTTAAACATCTTCTCTAGTGTTTACTTGGTTATGTTTTAATGGACTTTTCCAAAAATTCTTTCGCATTCTTAAAAAAGACATTAGGGATCTCTTAGATTCTTTCAGACTCTTTCAAAACTAAACAACCGCGCCCCCTGACACTTTTTCATTTTTTCTCAAAAGTAAAATATGCACAAAACGACGCCATTATTTTTTTACATATTTAAAAAAAGGCACGAGGGGCCCAAGATTTTTTTGAATTATTTCAAGAAATATTCTACTACTTCCTAAATTACGACTGATTTTGCAAAATGACATACACTCTAAGAAAATAGAGGGCGGGTGGGCGGGGCTAGTACTTGCTAAGACAAGACTGATAGTGGCAAATAATATACCCTCCAAAAAAATAGGGGGTGGGTGGGCGGGGCTAGTAGTTGCTAAGATACAAGATTGTTTTCACAAAACACCAGAAGCCCAAAGTGATATTTATAGGCTTTAGTTTAACCAATAACAGAGTTATTATTTTCTACAACAAAAATCAAGGTTCCTTAATAATTTTTTACATTCTGAAAAAAAAAACGCTTGAGATTCCTTTGATTTTTTAAAAAATGAAACATGCAAAAATTGTCACATATTAGAGACACCAAAAAGTTCCAGATTTTTTCGAAGTTTTTCAAAATAAAATGTCAATGGTTCTAAAAATTCTTTCACATTCTTAAAAAAAAAAAAATTAAGGATCTCTTAGATTCTTTCTTAAGTAAAATATGTACAAAGGGATGCCATTATTTTTTTACATGTTTAAAAAAAGACACCGAGGGGCCCAAGATTTTCGAATTCTTTC